TAATCACAGGCGGTAATTATGATTTAACCGGTTGTGATATCCGAACGATTACCGGTAAAAGTAATCCCCCATTTTTTAGTCAAAGTCTACGGGTGGAAGAACTTACATGTGGTAGGGTAACTTCATTGCACTGGAGCTGAGAAATTTACTCCAAATGCGGATGAGCTAAATTAGCCAATTTAGCTCATACCATCAGAATCCACTGAAGAAAAAATAGAAAATTTCTATTAGACTCTAGAAGACTCTCTAAAACTGACCAAAAAACATAAACTTAATATTATCATAGGCGATTTCAGTGCCAAACTAGGACAAGGTATAGTCAAGAATGTCATGAAGTCATATGGTCTTGGCATAAGAAACAAAAAAGAGAAAGACTAATCCAATTCTGCCAAGAGACGGATATGGTTGTAACGAATACACTTTTTACATTACATCCAAGAAGACTTTATACATGGAAAGCACCCTGTGATACCCCAGGGAAAATTATAAGAAACCAAATTGATTTTATCAACATAAATAAGACTTTTAGAAATTCTATCACCTCAACAAAGACATTTTCAAGCGCAGATATCTTCTCGGATTATAGTCTATTGTTTGCAAATATCAACATAAAACTCAAAATAATTCATAAGAAAATGAGGCCCAAGATATATATACGACTACTAAAAGAAAATGATACCCAGAAAAAGTAAAAATAGAAATGAATAAGAATTTTGCGTAAATAGTTCAAGACACTACTAGAGGCATACAAGAACAGTGGAACGAAATGAAGACATCTATTACCACAATTTCGCATAAATATCCAAAATCAAAAAGAGGAAAGAAGCAAGAATGTATGACAGATAAAATATTGCAGATGATGGAAGAGCGAAGAAAATTAAAAGGTAGAAATGACAACGAATACAAAAACTTGCATAAGACTATACTAAAGGAGATAAACGGAGCAAAAGAAGCATGGCTGACGGAAAAATATATGGAAGTTGAGGTAAAGAAGACCAGAAAACAACGCAATACAGGCATAGTTGTAGACATCGAAGGCCAAATTTTTGACTACAATTAAAGATAAATTACGAAGATGAAAAGAATATATGCCAGAATTATTCAAAGATGCAGCACGAAGTCCGACTGAAATAAACAACTCCTGCGGCCCAGGAATAACAAATGAAGAAGAAACTATGGCCATTAATAGCCATTAAGCGAATTAAAGATAAGAAATCACCAGGACCTGAAGAGGTGCATGGTGAAAATTTAAAGCTATTAAAATCCACAAGGAAAAAAATTCCTGTAACTGGCTGTATACCACATATCACAAAAAAGAGGTTAGTCTTCGTAAATGGGTATATTTATTCAAAAAAACCCTTAAAAGGGCTACATCAATAAAACAAACGTTTTCGGACCACACAGTCCATCATCAGGTTTTAAAATCGAAAAAATGCCTAAAAATAAGTATAAACCATTTAGTTAAAACAAACGTGATTATGAAATTTTAACTATGGTTAAAAAGCAAAAGATGGTTATACTTACTAGGTCACAATGCCTGAGCCACCAAAATACTAGGGTAAAAACCCTTTAAACTACATTTAGTTATAAAAGATTATACATTGTGTTGTAAAATAACTGTGATGTTCAGTATTAAATTAAAGGCTAGAGGTAACACATGGCTGAAGCGAGTTCCAGAGCCGGTGAGAGAACCTCTACACGCGGAGAACAGCTGGAAACTGATTGACAAGATACTTATGAAGGATGTCGAAAACAAAATGTCAATGTAACAAAAAACTATAACCAAAAATACCCAACAATTTAGTAGCACACTTATACAACAAATTTCAGGTTTATACAAACTGAATTTAATACCACCAAAATAGATTTTGTTCAGGGTGCTAGATACTTTAAGTATAAAGGACCCCTATTATCTCTAATTGTTGATTAACTCCTTTTCTCCTTTAACGGCCCCCCTCCTTTGCTTCAGTCATTTCCTTTACTTTTATTCTCATTAAGTCTCTGAGGAACCCAGCCTCTTCAATTTTAAATTCAATCACATAGGTTATTACTTTAATTCCTTCAGCCTGTAGATTTCCATTTTACTAAACTTAATTTTATTAATTTTTTTCACCATAGGAACAGTCTTAAATAAAGTCATTTAAATATGAGGTCTGATATTAGCTTCATATATTTGTTATTTAATTTTTACCTTGTCCTAGATGTGATAAACATAAAAGGATAATTTTCATATATATAAGCTAATCCAACATAAAATACACTTCTACACAACATTCCATATGACAAAAAGCAACATAAGTTGCCTAAGACACAGGTCATTCTATGAATCATGACTATAAAACCATCATTGATTTCACATCTTTTATACCCTAAATTAAAAAATAAAAAAGTTTTTTTAAATCCCAACACCTAGATTACTGTTATTTTTTAAAATCATCAAAACTTGTTGAATCTTTTGGCTGTAGTAATACTATGTACAACTAATATAGTTTTTTGTTACATTGACATTTTGTTTTCGACATCCTTCATAAGTATCTTGTCAATCAGTTTCCAGCTGTTCTCCGCGTGTAGAGGTTCTCTCACCGGCTCTGGAACTCGCTTCAGCCATGTGTTACCTCTAGCCAAATTTAATTTAATACTGAATATCACAGTTATTTTACAACACAATGTATAATCTTTTATAACTAAATGTAATTTAAAGGGTTTTTACCCTAGTATTTTGGTGGCTCAGGCATTGTGACCTAGTAAGTATAACCATCTTTTGCTTTTCAACCATAGTCAAAATTTCATAATCACGTTTGTTTTAACTAAATGGTTTATACTTATTTTTAGGCATTTTTTCGATTATAAAACCTGATGATGGACTGTGTGGTCCGAAAACGTTTGTTTTATTGATGTAGCCCTTTTAAGGGTTTTTTAAATAAATATAGCCATTTACGAAGACTAACCTCTTTTTTTTTTAAAGCTATTAGAATCACACCAAACACAGCTCTTACGAAGCTATCCAACAACATCTACGAGACTGGTTACTTACTGGTTAAGGACTATTATCATTCACTCGCTCATATACACCAAATTAGTTTGGATTCAGAGCAGGACTCGGAACGAGAGAAGCACTTTTTAGTTTGCAATACAGAGAGCCAGGGATATCAACTGCGATGTGTATGCATGTTTCATTAATTTAGAGTAGGGATTTAATAAAGTCCCACATGGGAAACTAATCAATATCCTAAAAACAACAGGACTTGATGGTAAGAATATGAGACTGGTCTCAAATTTATATATCCAACAAAAGCAACAGTACGATTAGAAAATAAACTGTCCGAGATCTTCACCGTCAAAAAAGGAATTAGACAGGGTTGCATATTGTCACCGGCATTGTTTAACATACACTCTGAAAACATCTTTAGAGAGGCCTCGGACGAATCAGAAGATGGGATTTCTGTAAATGGCCAACTTATAAACAACATTATATATGCAGACGATACTAATACGATATGGGACTAAAAAGAATAATGGATAACGTTGTAGAAGCATGTAACAAATACGACCTAAAACTAAATTACAAGAAGAAAACAATAATAATCATTAGTAAGAACACCGACAGAAACGCCCAAATTACAATTAACGATACACCGTTTAAAAGAGTGGAAAAAATATTCTATTTAGGCTGCAATATTAAGGATACTTGGAATACGCAGTTTGGAATACACAGCTACGAAATAAAAACTAGTATTGAAAAAGCCAGAAGCTCCTTCAACAGCCTTAAGAAGATTCTCTGCAACTTATCTATAATTATGTATCAATATAGGCATAATTAAAATGGAGATTTGCCGGACACAATATAAGACAAAAAGAAGACCGATGGAACAAACTTCTTATAAGTTGGAGACCGTGGGAATATAAACGAAGCAGAGGAAGGCCCCAAATGAGATTAGCAGATGATATCAAGAAGCACGTGGGCTCTAGGTGGATGACTGTAGCGACAGACAGAGAAAAATGGAAAAGGATTGGGGAGGCCTATGTCCAAAGATGAACCGAAGAAGGCTAATTAGATAGATAGATACGCATAACAATTCTTACACGTGTACGTTTTTAGTGTCCTCCTCTATGGAGTATAAAGCTAAGATCCCAGAAAACGATTGGAGGCATTTAAAATGTGGTGCTACAAACGTATGTTAAGGGTCTCATATATATACCACACAAGTAACAAAACTATTCTCCAGAGGCTAAAAAAGGCAAAGAAATTATTACCACCATAAAAAACAAAAAATTGGATTACTTTGGCCACATCATGCGTAATGATAAATACCGACTTCTACAGTAGACTCTACAGGGCAAGATTGAGGGTAAGAGAGGCACTGGACGTACACTTATATCCTGGCTGGAAAATCTTAGGAAATGGACTGGTCTAACATCAACTGATCTATTTCGAGCTGCTGTGAATAGAATAAGATGGGTCAATCTGGTCGCAAACATCTCTAGAAGATAGGCACATTTAGAAGAAGATTACCCTTTTTTGATGCCCTACATCTAAGCATTTGTATTTATTCAATATTAATCTCTTGGTTATTTTTACTTAGGCAACTTTTAGACCATACATCGTATAGTTGGTCTTACAAAAATTGCCATAATATACCTATTTTAACTCACTGTAGGTATAACAAGAAAAGTATAACAACTGTAGGAAGAATGATAAAGTATACTGTAGAAATATTCCTTGCCTCGAATGCCTTGAATATTATATTGTGGATATAACTCTAAAAGATTAGCTATCAACTTAACATTTAAATTTGAGGTGTTTGTAATGTGAAATGTGATAATTAATGTTAGTTTAATGAGATTTTTTCATAGTGTTCAAGATTGCTTGCTATACAAAGTAGTGTTTTTTGCGTTTTTAATAATTAAAGAGTCATAAAATAAATAAGCACTTAATGAAGAAGTGGGGTAATTGATTCATCGGTTGCCTAGCATACCAAACAAATTAGTGAAAGTTTGAACTCCGACAGAGTCATATACTCATTTTTATAAATAGTTTCTTCACAAATTGGTAAGTTTGGCTAAATAAAGTATATGGGCTGGACACATGGTGATAAATAAAGTAAATCTTAATTATTTGATTGGTAAAATGTTTAATGTTATGATTTTGCATTTGATTTAAATAGATTATAATCACAAATAAAAATTTACCAAATGGTCCAATTAAGTCTGCACCAATTGTATTGAAGAATTTATATCCATAATTAATATTTTTTTAAAATCCGCGTATTTATTTTTTTGTACACCTGAACGGTGTTTGTGTACCGCTATCTGATCACAAATGATCAATTATCAGATATTTTCTGACCTAACTTAATATTAAGCAAATACTTTATTTACACTAAACTGTTACACATTTACATTAACTTAAATGGTTTTGTCCTTGAGTCTTTTCTTAAGTTAAGTGTTTTCAACAAGTTGGATTGCCTCGACATTCACATGACTATGCGTCCTCTGCTTATGACTTGGTGCTGTTTTCTTGATTATTTCGGTCACAGTTTTCATACCCAGGTCCTGGTGGATTTTGCTGTGACGGATATACCAAGGAGCATCAACAATGCTCCTCAGTGCTTTGTTTTGAAATCTCTAGATAATATGTAGATTACTACCTTTGGTACAGCCCCAGAGTTGGCACCCATATACCCATACTGGCCTTAGTATTATTGCTTGTAAGCGGATAATTTATTATAAACGAATAATATTGAATTTTTTCAATTATATATATAATGGCTATACACCCCAGTATGGGGTTAAACAGCAAATGCTTTCTAGATCCAATTTCTTAAGTGGATCAGTCTTTTTTGTTTATCTTATTTTCTTGACAATATCTCTCCATTTTTTCCTGTCTCTAGTTCTTCCTCTCCATTCTCTGACTCCTGCCCTTTGGAGGTCTTCTTCAACTTCTTGCATCCACTTTGATCTCGGTCTTCCTCTTCTCTTTCTTCCTCCTGGATTCCATTCTATCATTGCGTATGTCACTGCCTCATCGCCGGCTCGCCAAATGTGACTGCATTGCTTTATTTTAGTTACGATGTCTTCCTTAAGTTCTTCTTTAATTTCTGCATTTGTTCTGCTTCTATATTCATTTTGCTCTGTTCTGATTGGTCCTAGTATGGTTCTCATAATCTTTCTCTCTGCTATTCTTAACTCTTCTTAATCTTTTTTTAACCATCGTCATTGTTTCTCCTGCATATAATAATATTGGTCTAATTATGGTTTTATAAATGCTCATCTTACTTTTTTAGTCAGTGTTTTGCTTTTAAGTAATCTTTTGTTTGCAAAGTAAGCTTTATTCGCTGCTAATATTTTTTCTTTTATTTCGGATTTCCTTTCTCCGGATTTACTTATTGTAACTCCTAGGTATTTGAAGTAATCTACTTCTTCAAACTCAGAACATTCTATTTTGATTTTTTCTTTCATTGGTTTTTACTCTAATCTTAATATTTTTGTCTTTTCTTGATTTATTCTTAGCCCCATTACCTCCCCTTTCTCTCTTATTTCTTCAAGCATTTCTTTCATTATTTTTCTGTTCTTTGCAATAATAGCAATATCGTCTGCATATGCAATTATTTGACCACCTCTTGTTCTGGGATTTTCTTTATTTATATTTCGCAGTACATATTCTAATGCTAGATTAAATAGAGTTGTTGATAAGGCATCTCCTTGTTTCATCCCTTTATTTATACTGGAATTCCTCTGTCTCTCCTCTTTGTGTCTTTATGCTTATTTTTGTAGTATTTCTATGTATTTCATTAATACGTTCCTTTTAATTGAATCAAATGCCTGTTTGAAGTCTATGAATAACAGTTCCAATTCTAATTTATACTCGTTTGCTTTTTCCATTATTTGTTTTATTGTGTGTATTGCATCTATTGTAGATCTTCCTTCTGTGAATCGACATTAGTACTGTCCTACTGTCTTCTTTGTGATCTTTGATAACCTCTTTTTTATTATTGATGTCAATATTTTATATGTTATATTTAGTAATGTGATTCCTCTATAATTTTCACAGATTTGTTGGTCTCCCTTTTTATGTACTGTTATGATCTGCCCTACCTCCCAGTCCCCTGGCATTTTCTCTTCTTTCCATATATTTTTCACTAGTGCCAGTATTCTTCCTCTTAGTTCTCTTCCCCCGTATATTATTAGTTCCATATTAATTCCATCTTTACCAGGGGCTTTTCCATTTTTGCTTCTCTGTATTACTTCATCCAATTCGTCTAATGTTGGTTCTTTTGAAATTTCAATGTCTACATCATCTACTTTATCTGCTTCTTCTTCGTGTACCGTTTCATCCTTGTTATGAACTTCTTCTTCTGTTGTTTCCTCCGTCAAGAGCTCTCTGTAGTAATCTCTCCATACTTGCTTGTATTCTTGATCCTCTATTATCACTCTTCCCTCTCTATTTTTTATTCCGTTTGTTTTGCCCTTGTATTTTTTGTTTTGTTCTTTAATCTTTTTGTAAAAACTTTTCGTATATCTGTTTGTTCTTTCCTGCTCTATTTCCTGCATTTTTTTGTCTATCCATCTTCTTTTATTTTGCCTTATCACTTTCTTAGCATTCCTTCTTAATTTTTCATATTCTTCTCTGTCTTCCTCTTTATCTGTTCTTAGCCATTTATTTCTGGCTTGCACTTTTTTTCCTGTTTTTTCTCTACATTCTTGGTTATACCATCCGTTTTTTGTTTTAGCCTGACTTTTACCTATCTGCATATTTGCACCTTCTTCTATTGATTTTTTGATTATCTCCCAGTCTGTACTGATATCTTCTGCTTTATATTTCTCTTTTATTTGAAGGGTTACTGCCTCTTCATATCTTTTTCTTAATTTTTCATTACTCAATTTATTGACATTCTACTTTTTATGTTGGTTTTTTTGTTTTGTTTCAATTTTAACTTTTTGTCTTATAGTGGCTGTGACCATGTAGTGGTCTGAATCTGCACACGCACCTCTGAACGTTCTTACATCTTTAATTGACGATTGTTTTCGTTTATTAATCATTATGTGATCAATTTGACTATATGTTTTCTGATCTGGTGACCTCCATGTTACCTTATGTAACCTCCATGTTACCATGTTAATTTTTTCAATTAGCCAATACAATTTCGTATTCCCTCTTGTCTTTTTGACATGGACTTTCCAACGCAGCCTCGCATCTAGGATGATGTCCAAGTATTTTGCTGATGTTGCATAAGAAACTTGGGTATCATTTATTCTAACTGGGAAATTTTCTGTTTTTTATTTGTAAAGTTAATGTGTGCAGATTTAATCTCATTTAATTTTATTCGCCATTTTCTGGTCCAGGTATGCATTTTATTTACTAATAGTTGCATCTTATCAGTCGCTTCTTTACTAGTGTTTCCTATGGCTAGTATGGCTGTATTATCCGTGAAGGTGTCAATAGTGTATTGCTGTAGCTTTGGAATATCACACGTAAACAATAGGTTCAGGAGCGGACCTAATACACTCCCTTGTGCACGCCAGCTTTGATTTTCCTTGAGTAGGTGTACACTTCTTCTTTTCTGAATACTGTTTAGGCATGAGCGTTCTTAGTTTATAGTTGAAACTCTCATGCCAGACTGTATCAAACGCTTGTGCTACGTCCAATAAGATTGTAGATCAGACTTTCTTTTCTTCTAATGATTTTTTTCATTGTTATTCTGTGTACTTGATCTATAGTGAAATGTTTATTTTTGAAACCAAATTGATGATTTGGTATAATAAAATTTATAATATCTAAGTTTTTCAAATAGTTTTGACATCACTGGAAGGAGTGATGTCAAAATCGATATCGATATTGATCGATAGAATGTCACTTCCTTAGTAGGTTTACCTGGTTTGGGATCATAATCACTTCGGCTACTTTCCAGAGTCTGGAAACATATCTCAATTTAAAAGCAGCATTTATTAGGTATTTCAGCTTAACTATAGCTTTTCTTGGTAGATTTTTGAATATTTCTCCTATGAGATCATATCCTGGAGCTTTCTTAGGATTTATATTCTCTTTTATCGTTGTTGATACTTTTCTAAATGATGTCAACGTTATTCTTTCTTCGCTTTAGAATAGTTCTTCCGATATTAGTTCTTTACCATTATCTTCGTTGGGTTTAAACGTGATTTTTAAATAATCTGCAAATCGTTATGGTTTCTGTTCATTACTTCTAGACCAGCTACAATTTTCCAATTGATAGGATGTGAATCAATAATTAGTTGATCTCTTCATTATTTTTGTTGCCTTCCATAATAATCTGTATGCTGGTCAACTGTTAAATTACTTAAAAATAATTAATTGTTGAATTTTTTATATTCTGTATCTCCCTTTTTAGACTAGTTTTGTCTCTTAATTTCTTTTTTTTTCTACTATCAGTTCTCTGATTTCTTTTGGATAGTTGTTCCTTTTTGTTCTAGAAGATTTTGTGGTAGAAGCTATCTGTTGGATATATTTTATAAAATTTTCTATTGGTATTAAATACTTTCTGCTTATAATTTCTAATGATTCATATATGATAAAGTGAAACCACATCGAAGCTGACTTACAAATGTCTCGGTTCAAGAGTCACATCTTTTATACGTTCGATGAAGTGGCTTGCATTCTTGACGTAAGAATCCGCTTCTTTTGCATATGTTTGTAGCTGTTCGGCCAAAAATTTTGCCAGTGGTTGCAGAGGAGTTCCGATAGAACTAACCATTGGTCGCAATGGTAATCCTGTCTTATGCACTTTGGGTAGGCCGTAAAGTTTTTGGCATATTGGCAACTTCTCTCTAGGTATGAGATGTAACTGATTTTCTTTCTTGATGTCTAAGGGTTTGATCTTGACTTTTGTTATTTTTTCTAGATATGTTGTGGGGTCCAACGAGATTCTTTGATATGTGGTATCATTTAGGATGTCATTTAAAGCACTGCTTTAATAACACATATTTCATCTATAAGGAGTAAAGATATAAATAAGTTGAAAGAGCACCGATAATTTCACCACTGTCACCAGTAATAGCAAACCTGTTTATGCAAAA